TTTATCAAAGTAAAATAGACAGTAACTCAATGCAGCTTCCCCTTCTCACCATACGACTTCCCTAACTCAGAAACTGCAAGTTCGAACTATGCTTAACCCAAAGGTCAGACTAACTAGAAAAAAGTAGCAAATTACAACTCTTCTTCTATTTTTAGACTGTGAGCCTTTAAACAATTTAATAATCCTAGTAGGAAACAGTGCCTGCCACATAGTTTGCTGAGTGAATGAAAACACAGGTACCTGTGGGATTTAAAAATATATGTGATAGATATAATCCCTTCCCTCAAGAAGCTTTGAAATGAGTATGGGGAAAATAAGCTGAGCATGAATAGCTCTAGTGTCAGCTCAGCATGATGAGCAAGCAGTGCCACTAGAATCAGTCACACTGGTTCACTTGGAGGTGCAGAGTTCAAACCTAACTTATTTCATGTATTCATTCAAAAATGTTTTACAAAGCCCCTACTATGTGCCAGATGTGTTAAGTGAGGGACACAAAAATAACCACGATGCATACAGTTTACGCCCCCAACTTGACCTCCGAGTTACTGCGTGATAATTCTGTCAGGAACTAGACGCTTGACCTTGATGATCCTGCTTCCCTTTGCACATCTGTACATCTGCCAGGTGAGTGTAACTACACTGAACACTCGCTAATTGTGACCAAATGTAAAGGGTAAATATCTGAGAAAGGCCTTGGAAATTAAAACTGCTCTATGCTCAAACAATAGTGATGCATTATACATATTATGAAATATATGAAAGATGCCATGCATTGTCCATACTTTAAATGTTTTGATTTTGAGCACCAAACAAACACTAGGTGTTCGATAACATACTGAATAAAAAAAGGAAGGAAGGTAAAACAGCTCTGTTGACAACACAAAGTCGTTACCGAAAAGCAAACATTGAAAGGTGATGTCAGCAAGATGACCAACTGCAAGTCCATAGCTCTGGTCCCCTTCACATAGAGCCAGAATAATGAATAACTACACTTTAATGAAAATAACTGAGAGAGAGCACCAGAATGCATTAGTGGAGTAACAAAAATCCTTTTTAGCACAGAAACTTTTATGGCCACATAAAGAAGGGAAGGAAACGTAAGGTGTCCACCACCCCATCCCCCAGTGGAGATCAGCTGCAAACCGGGAGGAACTTCTCCTTAAAGCAAACAGGTAAGCAAGAAGATCCCAGTAACCCCTGGACACCTATAGACCTCACTACTGGGGTCCCCTGCCATCCTCACAGGCTCTAAGCCCAGCTAAGGTTGCTGCCTGGAGTCCCCACAGTTGGGTCCCCCTTCAGAAGGCGATGACAGTGCGCCCCATCCCTGTGGCCCACGTGGCTACACCATCTTGGAATTGGAACTATGGGATGTGTTCTGCTCTGAGCCAGACGTCCCCAAGCCAAGCTGCCAACAACCGTTACACCATTCCCCGTGGGACCAAGAGGAGGTAGAACTGCTCCACCTACCCTTCTCATGCCCCCTTGGGCCGGAGCTGAAGCAGTACCCTGCCTCTAGGGAAAACAGCACCTTGGCGGCCCAGATCAGTCACACCTCCCCGGTGCCTAAGTTGAAACAGTATCCTGTGTCTCAGGGAAATGGTGCCTGGGCCACACAAAACAGTGATGCTCCCCAAAGTCTGAACTGTAGCAGCACATCCATCCTGGGCGATCTGTGCCCAGGCTGAGCTGAACAGCTCCAGATCTTAGGGCTGAGCTGTTGTAGTACTCTGAATTGAAGGGAAACAGAGCAGTGGCTGAGCTGAGCTATCCTCACTCCACAGGCCAGACAACTCCAGTACCCTGCTTCCCTGGAGCTGAACTGGCCCCCTGGAATCTGAGCTGCTGAGATACCCCTCTCTCCCTGGGGAGTGGAATAATCTCTGCTGTTCCATGACCCACCAGGGCCAAAAGGACAGCTGTGCTCCGCCATCCTGGAGTACTTGCTGTCATTACCCCCGGCCTCACAGAGTCTGGGATACTACCAAGTTGCATCATTCCAGGGTCTAGAGTCACTACTGCATGATGCCTCCACTTCATAACTTTGGTCTGGGCAAAGATTTTATGAAAAGATTTATCAAAAGAATAAATAGGTAACAAAAGCAAAAATAAACAAATGGGATTACAGAAAACTAAAACGTTTCTGCACAGCAAAGAAATAATAATACAAAGAGACAATCTACAGAATGGAAGGAAATATTTGCAAACTGTTCATCCAACAAGGGATTCGTATTCTGAATATACAAGGAACTCAATGACAAAAAAACAAGTAATTCAATTAAAAATGGGCAAATGAGCTGAAGAGATATTTCTTAAAAGAAGACAAACAAATAGCCAATGGGTACATGAAAAAAAAAATGCTCAGCATCCCTAGTTATTAGGGAAATGCAAATGAAAACCACAATGAGATTATCATCTCACCCCGTTAGAATGGCTATCATCAAAAAGACAAAAAATAACAAATTCTGGAGAGGAGGGAGAGAAAAGGGAACTCTCTATACACTGTTGGTGAGAACATAAATTTGTATAGCCATTATGGAAAACAGTACGAAGTTTTCTCAGAAAACTAGAGAGAGAATGACAACACAACATAGTGGTTATAGTTAACAATAAGTTATGGTATAGTTTAAAATAGCTAAAAGAATGAAACAGGAATGTTCCTAACACAAAGGAATGATAAAGGCTTGTGGTGATGCAAACCCCAAAGAGCCTGATTTGATTATTACACATTGTATGCCCATATTAAAACATCTCACGTACCCTATAGATATAGATAAATACCCATAGTAATTAAAAATAAAAAAAAAAGAAAATAATAATAAAAAGAAAACAGAAGGAGGAAGGGAGAAGGGAGGAAGGGAGAAAGGGGAAAACAACCTTGCTATTACATAGTCCTCAAGGGCCATGCTACAAAATTTCACTGAACATGAGTGGTATATAATGAGATACATTCTTTTGATAAATGCCCTTAAAAGAGGAGGTAAAGAGGGTCTTACCAGATAGCACAGTAGAATTAAAGGTTCCTTTTCTTACACCTCCACTGCAAATTGCTTGTACCCCTGTTTCCTACTGATGCATTCTGCTACACAGCTACTTCAATGCCTGTCCTCACCACTAGCTGGTAAGCTCCAAGTTCTGGCCCATTCAGCTTCTTTTCATTTACAATCTCATCCAGTCTCTAGCCCTCTGCAGGGTCAAATCAAAAACATCTTCTCGTAAGAACAAATGTTTTTAAGGTGGGAGAGAAATAACTGAGTAGGGTTTCAGTTACATGTTGTTATTCTTAATAATTATTTAACCCTTCAGTATATGTATTAAATAGTTTAAAATATTATGATTAACTACATAGAAAACAGATATTTGGGAGATGTAGAATGACATTTAAATATTTATAAAAATTAGAGAATTATTTTTCTCATTAACCCTAGAACAGCAGGTAAAATTTTTCATTTTCTAAGACCTGTATTCAATTTAATATCCCACAAAGATCATATATTCTTATGATATATTATTATCCCACATTACATAGCAAGTTGAAATTGGCATCTTTATTTACAATGTGCCTAAGCAAATCTCAGCCACACTTTTAAAACTATTAAACATCTCAAATTGCTTTCAAATGTTTGAGGTTTGTAGTAACTGAAATATGCTGTCAAGCTTTGCCCTTGATATTAAATAGTAAATACCATGAGTGTTTTGAAAAGAAAATGCATGTCTCTGATCTATTATTTCACACTCTCCCTTCCTCTCCATCTGTACATACATGCATACACACAAAAACATATTCATATATACTTGCTTTAAAAACTGTTTTATATTTCAATACAAAGCCCTGTGTTTCCTGTTTCAAAGATCTACCTCTTTTTATCATAAACATTGTGTAAGAAAATTTCAGAAACTTTAAAAACTAGTGAGGAAAATTACCCATACTTCTAGCACTATAACATTTTAATAACAATCATCTGAGTACTTCACAAACAGCATCTTTGCTGAAATAAAAAAGAAAAAGAAAAAAAGAGCATCTTGCTACACTAACAAAATTTCCCCCAAAATAGCATTTTTGTTTTTAATATGAAAGATATTTATATAGTCAAAATTATACATAAAATTAATTGCCACTGTAACAAAAATATTCACAGAAATGAAAAGTCAAGTTTGGCCAAACACAAATTCATTTAAAACAAAAACAAAAATCATACTACAACATTGAAAGCAAATACACTAATATACGTTCAATTTGGGGCAAAATGCATTTGACTTCACATTTCTTAGCCTACATTTCTTTTTTCATAAATATAACTGCTGAAGCAGTCTCTGTATTAAAAATAAATGACTTTAGAGACTAAGAGAGCAACATACCAAGGGAACCCTCCTAAAGAAAGCTACTTCACAGAAAGTTAAAAACAAAATATGCTTAAAATCTCAGGAACCCCAAAGTTAAAACTGGCTCTCCACTCTTTTTATCATTTCTCTAGAGCTTAAATCAAAAAGGTATCCTTTTTCTACTACTGAAAACTTCATAATGAATAATGTTCTGTTAGAGTTTGAGTATGAATCAAAGTCAAATTCCAAGTCAATTCTTTCCCTACTATGCACCTATAAAAATTGTTTTGAGACTTCTTTTTGTAAAACATAATAATATAATTATATCATTGAAATATATACAAATAATGATGGTTTTCTCAATATTAATAACAATCATTAAATAAAATCAAGCATAATATTGACTTTTGCATTTTTCATTGTGGTTATATCTAAATCAACTGAATTCTCAAGAATTATTTGTCAAGTTTTTTTTTTTTTTAAGTCAAGATTCTTTCTTTTGTATTTATTTTTCCTCTTTCTAAGTTAATCTTTTTAAACAGAATAAAACTCCTATAGATTTAAAATGTTAATATCTGTCTACTTTATATTTTGCTTTCTAGAAGCCTAGTTCTTTTGACATCAGCTAGAAAAGTTGGCTGAAAATTAGTCCACACTAAATATGAGAGAAATCTTACCTTCTAGTTTGTTGTTTTTCCTCTTCAGCCATTTTTCTATAGTCTCTGTACTAACACTTTCATATACAAATTCATCTAATACCTGGGGGTGAAGAGAAAGATAGGCCTTCACTTTTTCATCTGTCAAACCTGTAAAAGAATTAAAAAAAAAATAAAATAAAATTCACCTATACAACATCTTCATATATGTGAAAGATACAGTATAATGATGCATTAGGCTAAGTTCCAGTAACCTCTAGTCTACTTGCAAAAGGGCCGGAGAAAGCAGGAGTATAGTTATTGCTCAATGGAACAGAATTGAGTTTCTGTTTCCAGTGAAGGCAAAGTTTTGGAAGTAGGAGTGATGACTGGCCAAAACTGTCAATGTAATTAATGCCACTAAATTGTACAGTTGAAAGGTTAAAACAACATTTTTACATTATATTTTTACCATAATAAAAATAATTTTAAAAAGAATGTAAAGTTAGGCCGGGCGCGGTGGCTCACGCCTGTAATCCTAGCACTCTGGGAGGCCGAGGCGGGCGGATTGCTCGAGGTCAGGAGTTCGAAACCAGCCTGAGCAAGAGTGAGACCCCGTCTCTACTATAAATAGAAAGAAATAAATTGGCCAACTAATATATATAGAAAAAATTAGCCGGGCATGGTGGCGCATGCCTGTAGTCCCAGCTACTCGGGAGGCTGAGGCAGGAGGATTGCTTGAGCCCAGGAGTTTGAGGTTGCTGTGAGCTAGGCTGACAGCTACGGCACTCACTCTAGCTTGGGCAACAAAGCGAGACTCTGTCTCAAAAAAAAAAAAAAAAGAATGTAAAGTTAGAAGGTAAGCAATTTTAAACTATAGCTAATACATCATGTTACATACTGTTTTCCACAAAAATGTTCAGTGTTGTACAAGAACTAACACCATGATCCAATGCTGTACATTAAGCCTTGCAAAGTACATATTTCTTTTGTGTAAATAGTTATCACAGATTTAATATTCAAAGCAAGTGAAACTCTAGCAATAATAGCAAACACGAGAATCTAGTACTGGAACATTATGGGTTTAATGAATAAACTCTCATATTTTATTTCCTTACAACACAAATGCTTCATTTTTCTCCAAGGCACTAAACCCAATGATATGACTAAAAAATTAAGTTCAGAATAATCTTGACATGTGCTCATTAATATTCTATGTAGCCAGTTTCACTGAAATAATTTTCATAGTCTAATGATAATTGGAGAATACACATAGGATTTTCAAAATACTCTTACATGTTTTCATATTGAACATATTAAATCATGGTTTTTTTTCAAATTGCTGTTTCATGTTGGTATGCCATTTCATTAAACAATCCCCAACAGAAACAGACTATGAAGAATTATTCTCAGTGATGGTAATTATTTTTACTACTATATCTCCCCCGTTAATTATTTCAATAAATTATCCCCCTTACAGATGCTTAGGTAAAAGAGGCAATGAAAGATTGTACTTTGAGACAGAAAATAAGGAAGGAAGCATATTTTTATGACTCAAGGGAGTAGGCTATATATTTTCCCAAACAGACAAAGCAGAAATTTCCTATGTATTAATTAATTCTGCTGGGAACTAAAGTCAAATTGTTAGGATTCTACAACAGAATGGTATAATTGAGAAGGAAAAGTATTTCATCCAATGAAATCATTACTTAAGTAGTCAATTTAAACATACACACATACATATATTGTAGTAATAGAGAAAAGAAATTGAGACCCTTGTCTGTATTCATCCTGCAACAGAGCCCCGATAATGTAAAGTTCAGTTGGAGAAATTCTACAAGGTGCTAAAGATAAGAGACTTATTAAGCAAGAGAGTGTCTCAACAGAGCAAATACTATTCCCTAGATACAAAAGGCACAGGATGTCGTAGTAAGCTGACAGTCCAATTGACCTTCAAGACAAACAATGCAAATGTCGTTTGATTGTGTTCTCCAAAGCGGGACACATGCAACACTTCTTAGAAATTCCTCCTATCATTTCCATGACACAAGATTATACAATTCTTACCCTAACTTTCTAATTGCTCTTGAATTCTGCTTTCTCTCAACAACTCATGATGATGACACCAAAATCTGAGTCAGAAATCTTCAATATATTTTTGATCTCTAGACTTTGGATATTCTTCCATCACCTCAAGCTTCCATCTCAAGTCAAAATTAATGAGTCATCTCCTTCCCATTTCTTCCCAAAGAGATTTTAACTGTCAATTTTCCTTTTTCTGTTACTATTTATTTCCATTTTCCCAGAAGTCCAGGCTGAAAATATAGTCATGACTGACTCATCCCTCATCATGTCAGTCATCTCAGTGCATTATCACACAAGTTCTATTCACTAAATTACATGTCAGATAAAGGACTTGCATCCAAAATAAACAAAAACTCTTACAACTCAACAACAAGGAAACAAATAACCCAATTAAAAAATGGGCCTAAAATCTGAATTCTGACTCGGGTGGGGCATAGGCAATATACATAACCTAAACATTTGTACCCCTGTAATATGCTCAAATAAAAAACACCTCAGCAAAAAAGAGACAGATATGGCAAATAATCATATAAATTTTTAATAAACCATTTAGGTTAGGGGATCACAGGATGAAAGGCATAATATGACAAAAGAATCTAACTGTATTAGAAATGTATAAAAACCTCACTGAAGGGTCAAGGGATAAGGTGCTGACCCATAAAACTTTGAGAATAAGTGGAGACTGAAACTTAAATGCCAAAGAAACTATATATAAGCACTGTACTCTAGCTGATAAAGTTAATATCCCATGAGGGTAGATTTTAACAATTCTGACACCACTATGCGTGTATACTACAAATAGACAATTAAATACATGGATGGTACATAGTGGGAACAAGATTTCTCATAGGTAGAGTAGGATGTTACAGATAAGCAAAAGGAGGAATTTAGAGTGATCCATGTGGTAACACAAGTCAGAGTTGGAGATGCAAGTATAAACTCATGTATGACAACATAGACGGTTACATACAGGAATACTGTAGATATGTACATATGCTCAGGTTAACACACAGACATTTTTTGCCTTGCAATGTTAGCTGAGAGGGCCTAGAAGCAACAATATGCCAGCACCAATGGGCATATGTAGCACCCAGATATTGTTTTCTAATACCATTCTCCAATAAAAGGAAGCACAGCTTCTTGAAGAAATGGCTAATTTAAGGAAAGGAAAAGAAAATACATTAAGATAAGCTTGGAGCAGCCAATGATCAAAAATTTGCCACCAATAATCCAGGCAATTAATCATACACAGACTAATATAGATAGCTCTTCCAAGGTAATGTACATATTGAAACTAGTACCTTTTAAAATTCATTCCTGCTAATAAACTACATTCTCTCATCTATAAACATCTTGCCAGAGTGCAAACAGATAAGACTAATTAAACCGATGTTCACTTTTATTTTCTTTTTCAACATTTGACATGGGTATTAATGATTAGGGGATAGTTTAAAGTCATAAGTGAGAGAAGAGAAGCACAGAGTATCTCTGACTCAGTTGGGGCAAATGCAATATATGTAATCTAAACATTTGTACCCTTGTAATATGCTCAAATAAAAAAATTTAAATAAAAGACTGAATAATGAGACTAAGTTAGGAAGAGCTGATAAATTGCATTAATTTTCACAATGGAATTTGCAAATGCCCACTGAAAATGTCATGAAGGATTACGATTTAAACAAAATCAAAGCTGAAAACCAGAGTGGTACATGTAATGGTTGTATTTACCACTGAACCCAAAGACATAATAAAAGGCATAATAAAGACTGATGAGGGGGCACGGGCAATATACATAACCTTAACATTTGTACCCCATAATATGCTGAAATAAAAAAAAAGACTGATAAATATTTTAGTATATTGCTTCTGTGGCTATAAATCCAGCCAGCAACCTGAGGGACAGATAAAGAATAGCTTTATTTTGATGCTGAGTAACTCTTTTAAAGAAATAGACATATAAAAGCCAAATCAATATCTTCTACTTCAATATTTTGTTATTGAACCATAGAATAGTAATGAAAAGGATTAGCACTATTTGGGTTTCTATGCATGGTCATACAAACTATCAATAACAAAATACATCAATGATGATATATTTTTTTTACCTTTCTATAATATGGTAGCAATTGCAGCTACTTTTTGTCTGTCTCCACAAAACTCCTACAAGTTTCTAATAATATAACACATTATTATGCTACCTCCTTTGTTTTTTACTGCCTGCAAGCCACAGGTTCAACTTTGTTTTTCAGATGGAGATTGTGATTGTGTACACTTAGTAATGTACATTAATTTAAAACTTTTATAAAACCACAGGAAAAAATATATTGGCTCCCATGTACAGCCAACTTCAACAATTACCAGCTCATAGCCAATATTTTCCATCTGCACCCCCAACGACTCCCCTCTCATATAATTTCAAAGCAAATCCCAGATGTTATTTCAATACATTCATATATTACATTATGTATATCCAAAAGTAAAGAACTATTCCAACCACAAATGCTATTATTGCATCTGCAGAGAAATTATTATATTTAATATCATCAAATATCCAGGCATCATTCAAGTTTCTTTCTAATTCTCACATTTTTTTTTTACAGGTTTTTGTTGGAACCAGGACCCAAGTAACATCCACATGTAGTTTTGTGGCATTTTATTGATTTTTTATTATATTTAGGTTTCTGTCATCCCATAATATTCCCCTCCATCTCTTATTTTCCCCATTATAATGGATTATTGAAGAAAATAGGTTCTTAGTCCTGTGGTTTACTTCAGCCTGGATTTTTCTGACTTCACCCCCGTGGTGGTGTTTAGCATGTTCCTCTGCCCTCTGCATTCCCGAAAATTCACATTAGACTGAGAGGCCTGGAGAGACTTAGGTCCAGTCTGATGCTACAGACAATTTGGTAAGTGGTGCTGTGCTCTTCTATCACAAGCTCATGCCATTTAGATGTCCCTCCTTTGGTGACACTAGTAGCATGGATGATTCTTGAGTCATTAATTCATTAGAGCCTGACGATGGCCTTCTTCATTTATCAGCTGAAATAATATGAAGAGAAACTCTGCTTCCCTGCTATCTGGTTACC